AATAAAAAGAGAATTTAAGATCTGTTTCCGCTTGCCTATTGGTTTATCTGTTTTTCAAACTTTAATGGTCGTTTATTAGAGAGAATTATTTCAAGATATTTTTTCGAGAGGTAAGTTGTTAACACAATTTTGTTTAAGTTTCTGTAGAAAAAAATGAAAACTGCATTCTATATTACACCGGCTGAAAATGGTGGTTACATCCCAGATGTTTGGCAATTGCTACCAACTCTATAATCACCGTTATCGTAACTGCGTAAAAGCACTATAGATAAAGCGCATTTAATAAAAACGACAAGTTTTTTTTAAAATAAACATGTTTCAACATCTCATGATGCCATCTACAGTATATACTCTTTTAAAAAAACTTGTCGTATTATTTACCGTTATCACTTCGCTTGATTTCCATTTTCTACAAACATTTTCAATGTTTCAATTCAAGCATCGTCTTCTTAAATTCGATGCGAAGGATGGAAAAGAGTCTGCTTAAGGAGGCATATACAGTAAAACTTTTACTAAAATTATGAGAGAAATACTTTGGATGAAATTGATAGTGGTGCAAACAAGGGTGAATTTGAATATAACGTAAAAACAGACAAAGTTCTTATTTTAGGCTTAGAAGATCTTGGGTCTGTTGAAGAGAGTAAAGTTGGCATTAGAAACACGTTAGAAATGTCTCATGAAACCCTTCAAAATGCTGGTGTATCAGCGAATCAAACTCGTGAAGCTAAAGACAGTCGTGTGGACGACGTGATTCGTGTTTCCCACGAGAGTCGTGGATCTAACGTGGGACGAGTTGCTAATGAGTATCGTGTTGTTGAAGAATGGAAGTCTTCAGAGTTTCATGAAAACAGAAAAAAGGAAAGTGGTAATTTCAATGTTGATGATAAATATGGAGAATATGTGAAGCTAAAGTCTAATGCTCCACTACGTACAGAGAGGTTACAGCCAATCAACTTCTCTTCCAAGAAGACAGCCACAATGACGTAACATAGTGTGGCGTCACATGACAACCGCTCAAGAAACATGATGCCCAGTGATTCAGTGAGAAATTATACCAATATGGGCTAAAGTCAATATGGCGATGATGTGTCATGGTTCTGGTAATAGTAAAAGATACATTGTTGAACACCGTCCAAAACTATCCCATGTTAAAAATGCTAAAACCTCGATTTATTACAAAACTTCTGGTCGATCTAAACTCAGCTCACATTCAGATGCGTCAGAAGTAGATTATAAATCATCCCCTTCAAGACCAAATTAATGATCAAAATTCTCCAACAATTTACTCCGACAAAAAGTGGGAAGAGAAATCACATGACCCAGAAATCATGTCCATTGTCAGTGGCAGGGAGTTTTCTGAATTCCTACCCACTACTCCATGGCCAAGCGACAGCCAATCAGATATCTCTACAGATGGATATTCCCGTGGTAGTTATAAATCATTTAAAAACAAACTTGAAAGAAACTTTAAAGAAAACAGGGAGGTTGTTGTTGAAGACAGAAGTCAATCAGATCAAGAAAAGCATAATGAAGAAACTTTAGAGGTATTTATATGTAAAATAAAGTAAATGTATATAATGTTTTTTTGTTTGTCCTTGCACTGCTATGGGTCTATTCTATTTACTTAACTTAAGTTACAAAAATCTTTCACAACATTGCTTTAGATTGTCTTCTATCATACAATATTTTCTATTTTCTATAAACAGCGTTTACGAAATGGTAAGACGCGTGAGAGGAATGGAAACGAAAGTAGAAAAAACGTCGGTTCATAAATAAAGAGACGAGCAGTTCATCGTGGACTCATAATGACAGCGGAAAACGTTATAGAAATACACTTGTTGAAGTATCTATTAGAGAATGTGATCGGAGATGAGTGGTTTATCTGTAAGTTTACCAGACTTTGTTATATTGTATTCTTTACATGATTAAAGGCTGATATTCTTTAAAAATACTCGAGTTTGTGATTTCTTTTAGGGTGTATATATTAACAACGTTAAGAAAATTATATTGCGTCAGACATTAATTTTCATTGCAAAAGTTTGTGTATGTAACTTATTTAGATCTTCCTGTACAAATACTCCGATTTAGTATAGAAGTAAAGATTTTCTACCCCCATTTTTACAACTTAGACTTGTTTGAGTTCCATGCATAATAACATACTTCTCTGTCACATTGAACTTTTTTTTCTACTCTTTAAAATGTATGTTTTAAGTATTGTATAGATGTTGCCAACCTTCTCAACGTTAAGTAAAATTAAGTTCTATATTTTCCCGTTGCAAACGTTTTCAGGAAACATAAATCCTGTGAAAATTGAAGGAAGTCAATGGAAAGAAAAGTGAAGATATTATTGACAGCCGTAATCTTGATGGAAAATGAAGTATAACAAACTCTTAACTAATCATGTGCCACTTTCAAATTGTTAATTTGAACAACGACCAAGAAATTGGTTCATAAAGTCATATCAAGGATAACTTGCATGTATAGTCACTGAAGTATGATTATTAATTAACTTAAATTCCATCATATATGTATGTAAAGGTCTTAATTGATGTAGGGCGTGAATGCATGAAAAGCAATTACGGAAATGTTGTATTAATTATAGTCGTAGAGCATCTTGCAAATAAATATAATGTTTGTTATATACTTCGTCATAAAAGTTGAATATGTTACGAACATGTACATCTTTTCTATTTCAAGCTGGAGAAAAGTATTAAAGCGAGTTGTATAGGGTAGCCGTAAGTATGTTTACTAAAGTTAAGACCTTTTAAACAAAAATTCTTATGCTCCACTGTTATTTGGTTATCACAACATTACCGTACACTAAACATGGTTACTCTGGGTCATATGATATCTTCCACGTATATTTAGGGATATATTTCTGGAAAAAGATTGGAGAAAGTGTTTTAGGTCGCTCTGTTTGTGATTATTTCTTTGAAGCTCATGGAAAGGTGAATGAGTTTATGTGTAAATTGTTGGTGATTGACATTTGTTTGTTGGTGCTTGTTTGGTTGAGAAGATTAAAGTTACTTTAATGAACAGTTGCTATTATCGATTCGTCTCACAAAAGTGCATCTACGCAGATCAAATCAACTATCGTCATTCATTTTAAGGTCACGAAGACATTCCTCCAGTAATTGCAACAGGATTTGGTTATCTGTCATGATCTCTTATTTTTTTCTGTTGTGGAAAATGAAGGTTTGTGTTTGTTTGAAATGATTGATTAATATTGCTTATTTATGTTTATTTTGAACCCATTGCCTCTAATTGAAAGAGATTGATTGCCAGTCTTGATTGAAAGAATACAGCATATATTGCAAGGAAATGTTATCATTCAATGTTTCCAAAAACTGTGTTATTTCCTTTGATTAAACTTAATTTTGTATTCATGCAGGCTTTATGAATGTCATCTCAAAATCTTCGTCTTACTTAAAATGCTGTTACATGTCACATTTTTCATGTTGCATGAGGCATTGTATCATATCTACAGTGAACATTACAAGAAATGTATATTTGTTCTAGATTTGACAACGATTCTAGTGATTATTTCAAAAATTGCTTGTAACTTTCGACTTGTATCGTGAGCGTTTTGATTTGGAGACTTTCTATATGTAATCTCTCCATTGGATCTATCTTTTCTCACTGCCTCGTTCTTTGATTTCTGCCTGTCTCGACACTACTCGACCTAAACCATCATAAACAAAATTAAATTCATAGCCGCGTAAAATACCTTTTTGTAACAGCTGTTTTAATAATGGTTTTTCAAAACAGTAAGCGTCACAAATAGCACCTGCTATGACAGCGCCTTTTTGTTAAAATGCTGCACTTTTCTCTCCACAGGATCTTAGTTCTTATGTGACGACTGATTCCTTATTTATCTGCTAAAGACTGCTTCTCACAGAGATAGACGTCTTCAGATACTGTTTTCATAAGTTGTTGAAACATGTCTAAAATTTGATCAAGTTGTTTTTGAAACTGTCAGAAATGACGCATCGATTTTTAAGACTGACATAAAGAGAGGAAACTGCGTGTCAGTTTTCAATTTAAATACTAATGATTGAAATTTCTAAATAAACATGGCAATTTGTTAAACGTTTCTATTTCAGGAAATTTCATTGGTAGACGACCGTCGTCATGGAATTACCTGCAAACGTTTGTACATAATTCCTGACACTCGCTCATTTACATCATTTGGCAGGAAGACGTTTTACAACGAAGACAAATTTAAAATATAAGTTTTATCAATAACTATCGACTTAAGAAGAATTATAGGATATACAAAATACTCTAGTTTAACTTTAGAGACATGGGAAAAATATGAAATGCTCATGGTTTAGAATAAGTCTTTCTTATTTCCTCCGCCAAGTGTTTATTCGTTTTTTAATTTGATATGACAAAACAGACGATACATGAACAATTTTATTCATATGGCTTTGAATTGGTCATTGGAAATGTATTGCATTCCCAGAATTTTCTTAAGACGAACATCGTCCATCAAAAAGGGCATTTTCACAACTTTAAACAGCCATAAAAATGGAATAATTTGATCAAATCAAAAACTTTTTTACTGATACTCTAGAAATCGCACTTAAATTTAATATCGCCAATAATATATATGGCCCGTAGATGTAAAATGTGTTTATGTAGCACATAAAAATCTTAAAATCACATGTAAGCAGTGTCAAACATGAATAGCCAGGCGTTATGTATAGTATGATGTCGTTTTATATACAAACACGAAAAACACAGTTATTTCTCAATTGATATAAATTATTTGAAGGAATCCAAACAATTTATTTTATATAAAGCTCTAAATCTACATGAGTGGTGTCTCAAACATGATGAGTATTGTATGGGGCCATTTGTGCTAAAGACGAGAGGCATAAATAACCAATTAAAGAAAACGGGCTGTTTAATTAAGTCCACTTCTAAAAGTGTTTATTTAAATTTTTTTTAACTTTTTATTGTTACATATGTTTACAAAGGAATTGATTACATACAAACCTATTTTGAGAAAATGAGACAACATTATTCATTATCAAGAATTGGCTTACTAGTTCAATGCAATATCTCTATCGGTTGATAAATGCAAAAGTGCACTACCTTCAACCTCTTGAAGTTTTTCTGATGTGGTGACGCTTCCTATTATCACCGACTACTTGCCTAAAACTGGGAATATAACACCCCCCTCTCCCACACACATTCACCTCGTATGCTTTTTTACACTTAATTTGAACTACATTGACTATTAATTCATGTAGTTCCCTAGACAAATCCCGTTTTTTCAGGGAAGAGTTTTTGTGTCAGTGCAGCAAATGTGTTAATCCGTTGGTGAGATGAGAAAGATGCACATTATATGTGTTAAAGCTCAAAAACAGTTGTGTAAACCGATGGTTTTGAGCTTTAACACATATAATGTGCATCTTTCTCATCTTTCTCATAATCAATTTTTACATATTACAGATACTGGTATGACAAATTAATGAGAAATTACGTTGACGAAAAGAAAAGTTCAACGAATGTCTAGCATGATTTGTGTTCAACACTATGATATGCCTAGTGAGCGGTCTTGCGGTAAGTTGACCCTGTTTTGCCGTAAAGATGAAAAATATTACGCGTTGACTTGTTGCCACGTTGGTTTTGGACCTCATCTGAAGTTGAATGATGACCTTCTTGCGATTCAAGATGAAATTAGTAAAAACAAAGAAAGCATTCAGCGTTTATTGCATGAAAATAAATATACTTTCTCGGATGATGATGACAGCGTGGTTGGTCATTTTTCTGACTTCTCTTATGGTCCTGAAATCGATATCATGTCTATCACTGTTGGCAATAAAGAGGATTTTCAGAAGCTTGTTGGTGATGAATTGGAAGATGTTAATTCAAACTTTGATGACGTATTTAGCAAAATTCACGAAAGACGATGCCAAGGGGAATCTGTGAAAGTTCGCACAGCCACTTGTGGGCTACTGTGTTGCCTTAAGTTTTCACATTTTGAAAGCACATAAGGGCTACTTGTGTTGCCTTAAGTTTTCACATTTTGTTGAAAGTCATGTGATTTTGCGTAATGTTATTGTGATAAAAAGTGATGAGTCATTTCTTCAGGATGGTGACGCTGTTGTTCTTGTTTATTTTTTGGATGAAAAAATAATTGGCAACCGTTTGCGTATGGATTTGCAAAATCAACTGATTATCACGGAGAGACAGATTATATATGCTTGAGATTAAACATTGCCTTAAAAGCACTCGGCCTTCAGGGTGGTCAGTTTTTTAAACCGAGGAACAATGGCGACACTCTATCCGTTAGTGATAAACACATCGACGACGGCACTGCATTGAATAACACCAGCCGTGAGACGACTGATACGAGCACGGATTAACGACTGTCACAGACGAATCAACTATTACATCAAACAACAAGAACAAAGACTGAACAAACTGAAGGAGCTCATACCAACGACAGTAAGTGATACTTTACTTTCTACGATACAAACTATTTCAGAGAAACGAGCAAACAAGACAGAGACACAACACCAAATCAAACAACAACAAAAACTTGAACGTCTAAAACAAACTAAAACACGTACAAGACATAAACATGACGATAACTGGGTGAGGAATATTTCTTCCCACTCATTAGACGAAACTGAAACGCGACTACTATCTTACGGACTAAAACATTCCATAACACCTAGACAAATCCCGACTGAGACGATAGTATCAAGTGTCGAGGCTTTCCTAGCGTATCAAAGGGAATCGTCCGAGACAACCAAAGACGGGATCAGAAGCAGGATAGCCTCCACTTTACAATCGTCCTCTATACGTGACAACAACTTGACAAAAGACGAACAACAAGCACTCAAACGACTAAAACACGACAACAACATCGTCATTTTACCAGGAGACAAAGGACGCGTGACTGTGGTCATGGACAGGAATGATTACTTTAACAAAATGGACACCCTTGTTAACGACAGACAAACGTACGAACAACTCAAACGAGACCCAACACCATCATTAGTACGCAAACTTAACAGCAAGATTTTCTCTATGAAAAAATCTAACATTATATCTGAACGTATTTACTATCGACTCAGATGTTCAGTACCACGACCACCCAGACTATACGGACTACCAAAACTTCACAAATCACAAATATCCATGCGACCAATTGTATCATTCTGTGGTTCGCCTACTTACGAACTTTCAAAGTACTTGACTAACATACTGCAACCACTTACAAACAAATCAAAACACAAGCTACAATCCACTGAAACTTTCATTAAAAAACTGTGCACTATACAAATACCGGACAACTATATACTAGTTTCCTTTGATGTGAAATCACTGTTCACCAGTATTCCACTTGATCTGGCACTTACTTGTACAAAAACCCTCATTACAAACACCACGGACGTACTGCCATTACCGACAGAAGACATTATGGAGTTACTGGAGCTCTGCCTCACCTCGACTTACTTCCAATACAAAGGAGCACACTACAAACAATTACATGGGACAGCAATGGGCTCACCCGTTTCTGTTGTAGTTGCTGAAATTGTAATGCAATCTATAGGGGAACGGGCGCTCATGACTTACAAACATGCACTACCTTTTTGGTTTCGCTACGTAGATGACAAAATCACAGCACTACATGCAGACGAGATTGATGACTTCCATACTCACATCAACAAACAGAACAGCCACATACAATTTACCAAAGATGTCGAAGAAAACGGAACTCTTCCTTTTCTCGACTGTTTGGTAAAACATGACAATCAAAAACTACGAACAACAGTTTATCGCAAACCAACACATACTGACCGACTACTAGACCAATCATCTTACAACCCTACATCACACAAAGCCACCACAATCAGAACATTAACAAGACGTGCACAAGTCATATGTGATTCACCGGACGCTCTACAAAACGAAAACAACTATCTCAAACGTGTTTGACAAAAACAACTATAACTCTGACTTTATCAAACGCAACACTTACAAACCCAACGAACCCAACGAAACGAACAACTCAGTGACAGCAGCAACGATACCTTACATCAAAGGTACGTCTGAGACTATCTTGCGTATCTTACGACCATACCACATACGTGTCGCACATAAACCAATCACAACGTTACGACAAGTACTAACGAACATAAAAGACAAAGAACAACCCAACGAACGACAAGGTGCAGTTTACAAAATAAACTGCTCCGACTGCCACGCCTCCTATATCGGGGAAACTGGCAGGAACTTAAACATAAGACTTACTGAGCACAAACCAGCTACTAAGAAACAAGACAAAACTAATCACATTGCCGAACACCACCGAATCACGAAGCACAACATTGACTGGGACTCGGCAAAATGCATCACTTACAGTACTGACTATAGACAACGGCTTACATTAGAAAGTTGGTATACCAACTTGGAACAAACCCCCCTGAACAGATCACAGCAATTACCGGCACCTTACAAAAGACTTATTCACAATACAAACAAACGATCAACTAAAGACATTACATTTCAAACTAATTCACAATGACAATACACAATTGACACCCACACATTACAACTAAAAACGTCACACCTAAATCACACATCACAACTAAAAATAAAATATTTCATTTCACACTAATCCACAATGACAATACGCATTTCCTGTACACACAATACAATGACGTAAGAACCAGATAACAAATACGGCTAACCTGACGTTTACTCCTCATTTGACTCTGAAGATGACTACTGCTAAGGTTGTCGAAACGTCAGTCAACAACAACAAGAACAGTCCTTCTCAGGACTTTATTAACCTGGACGATCATCATTTACAAACATGTACTTCTCTGTCACATTGAACTTTTTTTTCTACTCTTTAAGATGTATGTTTTAAGCATTGTATAAATGTTTCCAACCTTCTCAACGTTAAGTAAAATTATTTTCCCGTTGCAAACGTTTTTAGGAAACATAAATCCTGTGAAAATTGAAGGAAGTCAATGGAAAGAAAAGTGAAGATATTATTGACAACCGTAATCTTGATGGAAAATGAAGTATAACAAACTTTTAAATAATCATGTGCCACTTTCAAATTGTTAATTTGAGCAACGACCAAGAAATTGGTTCATAAAGTCATATCAAGAATTACTTGAATGTATAGTCACTGAAGAATGGATTATTTATAGACTTAAATTCGATCATATATGTATGTAAAGGTCTTAATTAATGTAGGACGTGAATGCATGAAAAGGAATTAGTGAAATGTTGTATTAATTATAGTCGTAGAGCATCTTGCAAATCATGTCATACATTTCGTCATAAAAGTTGAATTTGTAAGAACATGTACATATTTTCTATTTCAAGCTGGAAAACATTATTAAAGCGAGTCTTATAGGGTAGCCGTAAGTATGTTTACAAAAGTAAGGCGTTTTAAAGAAAATTCTTATGCTCCACAGTTATTTGGTTATCACAACATTACCGTACACTAAACATGGTTACTCTGGCTCATCTGATGTCTTCCACGTATATTTAAGGATATATTTCTGGAAAAAGATTGGAGAAGTGTTTTAAGTCGCTCTGTTTGTGATTTTTTCTTTAAAGCTCAAGGAAAGGTGAATGAGTTTATGTGTATATTGTTGGTTATTGACAATTGTTTGTTGGTGCTTGTTTGCTTGAGAAGTTTAAAGTTACTCTAATGAACAGTTGCTGTTATAGATTCGTCTCACAAAAGTGCATCTACGCAGATCAATTCAACTATCGTCGTTGATTTCAAGGTCACGAAGACATTCCTCCAGTAATTTCAACAGGATTTGTTTATCTGTCATGATCTCTGATTTTGATTGCAAGAATACAGCATATATTGCAAGGAAATGTTATCATTCAATGTTTCCAGAAACTGTGTTATTTCCTTTGAATAAACTTAACTTTGTATTCATGCAGGCTTTATAAATGTCATCTCCAAATCTTTGTCTTAATTAAAATGCTGTTACATGTTACATTTTTCATGTTGCATGAGGCCTTGTATCATATCTACAGTGAACACTACAAGAAATGTATATTCGTTTTAGATTGACAACGATGCCAGTGATGATTTCCAAAATTGCTTAGAACTTGCGACTTGCATCGTGAGCGTTCTGTTTTGGAGACTTTCTATATGTCATCTCTCCATTGGATCTATCTTTTCTCACTGCCTCGTTCTTTGATTTCTGCCTGTCTCGACAATACTCGACCTAAACCATCATAAACAAAATTAAGTTCATTGCCACGTTAAATACCTTTTTGTAACAGCTGTTTTAATAATGGTTTTTCAAAACAGGCAGCGTCACAAATAGCACCTGCTATGACAGCGCCTTTTTGTTAAAATGCTACACTTTTCTCCCCACAGGATCTTAGTTCTTATGTGACGACTGATTCCTTATCTATCTGCTAAAGACTGCTTCTCACAAAAATAGGCGTCTTCAGATACTGTTTTCATAAATTGTTGAAACATGTCTAAAATTTGATCAAGTTGTTTTTGAAACTGTCAGAAATGACGCATCGATTTTTAAGACTGACATAAAGAGAGAAAACTGCGTGTCAGTTTTCAATTTAAATACTAATGATTGAAATTTCTTAAATAAACATGGCAATTTAGTAAAAGTTTCTATTTCAGGGAATTTCATTGGTAGACGACCGTCGTCATGGATTTACCTGCAAACGTTTTTACATAATTCCCGACACTCGCTGAGTTACATCATTTGGCAGCAAGACGTTTTACAACGAAGACAAATTTAAAAAGTAAGTTTTATCAATAAATATCGACTTAAGAAGAATTATAGGATATACAAAATACTCTAGTTTAACTTTAGAGACTTAGTAAAAACATAAATCGTTGGCCAGCATTGGAATGATAAGCCTCGCCTTCATCTATCGCCTTATGTTAAAGAAGGCAACTATAAAAAGTACTTTTTGCAATATTTTCCCGATCTTTCTCTTCGTGTGCATGAAATCATAAGGTCAACTGACTGGGAAACAAGACCTTATCTCAAGAAACATTTTACCTGTAAGCCATAAAAATGAATTTTCTTTTTCAAAGACATTGTTGAATTAGGTTTCCATGGTGATATAAATAACGTCGATTTAATTTTGAGGCTCATTAGTCTTTTTCGGTAAATTAACAAATTGTTTTTTTACTCCACCCCAACTCTCTTTTTTGGTTGTATTTTTATTCAGTGTGTTTTTAACACTCTATAATGTTTTCCTCTACACTTTAAGCTGTACATAATAATAAAAATACCGTTGTGAACATTTTTTAGATACTGAATATCATATGGAAATTGAAGAAGTTAGTGGAAAGAAAAGCAAAGACGTCATGGACAATCTTGATCTTGACGGTAAATAAAGTTACAACAAACTAATGCTTACTGGAAGTTAATCATTCTCAAAATATAACTCTTGTCTACAACTTAGCACATATTATATTAATCCTTTCTTGAGATGCTTTATTTGACATCGATTAACTTGTTATATGTAAATGTGAACAAATTTTTTTATCTTTAATTTTCATATAAAACAGAGAAGATTCAGTGGCAACATGTTGGTTGGCATAGCCATTTTGTTTTTCATATTGGTGTAGAGAAGAAAGGACGTCGTCGTAAAGGTTGGTATAGTCATATATACAACATATTAATGACGAATGTTTTTGTTTATTACGTGTCAACTTACCCTGACATTGACTTGATAAAATTGTGTGATGTGGTCTGCATTGGTCGAACATGGAGCAAAATTACTGTTACAGCAAGGAATGTATTTCCAATGAGCAACGCTGCGTTCAAAAAAACACTCCACACCAAATGAAACATTCATTTCATTCCAACAGTCAAAACATTTGTCATTGAAGATGGTAATGTTTGAAGAAATATTTTGCATGACAACATTCACCATGTTGAGAGAAATATTTCTCACATTCGTGTAACTAAAACAACTTTTATCAATTGAAAACAGTATGTTGCGTAAAAGAAACAATGTTGTTTTTAGTTTTTCATTCTTCACAAGATCTTACCGATATTTAAAGAATGGTAATATGTAAAATAATAGTTGTCTTTGCCTCATAGCTATTGTTCCTGGGAATAAGTTGATGATGTTGCAATAAGTTTTTAGCAATAAAAATCATAAAATAATATTCTGTTTGTTATTGTTTTTAGCAATTAGAGCTCTGAAAGTTCCCAAAGGTGACTATGTTGTGAATCATCGTCTATTCATGGAAACCATGTTTTTTTTTATTTTCTACTCCATTGTTAAATACAATTCAGTTAATGTGCACGAGAATGGATTTTGTTCAAATGACTAAAAATTGTGCATACATCCATAGTTTTATATTCTTTTTTCTTGGCATGATTTATGAAAGAAAGTTTATCCATTCCTATTTTTCACTCCTCGACAGTATAAGTAAACTGAAACCTGTCCATGTTTTGGTGCATGTAACTAATATAATTTTTTCATACTGCAGCCTTGCAGGCAAAAAATGTGCCATCGGAAAAACATCAACTCTTGAAGAAAGGTAGTATTGTAAGGCATTAGTACGACGATTGAATTAAAGAAATATAATGAAAAGTTTACAGGATACTCAACATGGATATTCGTTTTTGCATGGCAGGAGAAATGACTTTAGAGACAGTGTTATCTATATTAGAAAAAAGAGACGCGCGTTCATTTGTTCGCGCGTTCATTTGTAACAAGGAATACTGTAGCATAGCTACTTTTTTGAAAGTTTTTTACAACTCACTTGTTCTACCTTTCCACACACAAACAGAAAACTTTTGATACACACAAATGCTTCATTAAATAATTATCGTACTTATCTTGTTAGAACAATTTAATAGAACAATTTAACAATTTAAATTTTGTTTTAACCTGAGAACAGTTTGACGATAGCATAGTCATGCAATAAAATAATATCGACAATGTTTATTGTTGCTTATGCATCTTTGTTTTTTACTAAATCATGGAGAAAAGTTGAATTTATATCAGCTAGGAAGTTCTTTATGTCTATGTAGTCTCAATTTTTCAACAATAAGATAGTCAACCTGTCTTATGTAAATGTGACAATAATATTTATTTTTCTCTATAGTTTCGTTCTTGTATGCTATCCCTTGGTAGCATGCAAAAACATGTCTAGAGCAAAGGAACAATGTTTTGTACTTGTGATTAAAAAGGCAAAAACTCAAAAACCAATTATTTTTACAAAGTAGAGTTATATGTTGGCTATTATTTTTATTTTTAAATTAATGCACTGTGAATCAGTCAACCTGTCATTTGTAATCGTAATTAAAATATCTTATTGTTTGTTTATTTAATGCAAAAGAGATTCACGAGAAGGAAAGGCCACTTTGTGAAGGTTGGTATATTGATGCAGCATACTTATAATGGATACAGTTGTTTGGTGTTGTTATTTTATTCATCTTGGTGAATCTAGAATTATAATATTATTGGACATGTAGAAACTTGAGTATGACTGTTTAAGTTATTTGAGGCTTTTAAATATCCACGGTGTTGAAATTGAATTGAAAACTGAAGTGTAATTTCTACTTTGATCCACTGTCTTGTACTTCTTTTTTAACGTTTGAATCAAACTTGTCATGTGTGAACCTAATCATGTTGTTTTGTCGTTTATTTATTTATAATGCAGAGGAGCAACGACGACATCGTAAAGGTATTTTCTTTGGTATTATCTTGCGGCATACTGATAATAATATGTTTGTTTAGGGTTGCTATTTTATTTGCAATGTTGAATCATGAATGATCATATTCCTGGTCTTATTAGATATTTTAAAACTAAAGTATAAGTACAGTAACCTTAGTTGATAATGATGTGGCTGCATGTGCCGCTGTGTATTTAGCAGGAATTTTGCGTAGATTGTTTCCATCTCGGTTATGACGCGTTACGTAAAGCCTAATGTGAATGTTCAATGTATTGGTAGTTAGTTGCTCTTATAGGCTGCAATTGGTGTATTCTTTGGTTGGTAAAACTCTCCTCTACGAAAGATTGCTTTTTTCCAATTTTCATTTTTTTTTAACACAGTGTTTCAACATCTTTAATATTCTTTGGCAAACCGGCTTTAAACGCTTTTGTATGTTATTTCATCATGAACATTAGAGCCCAGCTTATTGCAATTACATGAATTGTTATTGCAAAAATAAGAATGTAATAAAGGATTTTATTAATTCTATTGACGTTTCCTCGCAACGCGCGACATCTTCAGAATATTGGTATAAAGTTGCAAAATAAGAATAAAAATTAGCTACAGTATTTACAATGCAGAATAAATTAAGTAGTAATGGGAGATTAACCAATCATAGGAAGGCTAGAAGAATGACCACCCAGCTCTTTGAAGGGAAAGAAATCGGACAGTCGGCAACCAGAACGGAACATAAAGTGAAGTGATAAGTGTTGGGAAGCAGACGAGCAGAGTTTAGTTAGTTGTGTTGGAACTTGAACAGCGTGTTTACCAGTAAAAAGCATGCTAAAATGCATGTTGTTTTCGGTGGTGTCAACGTCTGTATTATTAGTGTTAGGTGTGGCGAAAATGCGGCTTTCAAATTTACGTGTCAATGCGGAGCTTTGTATGTGGGCCAAACACGGCGATTCTTTCATACACGAATCTCAGAACATTTGGGAGTCTCGCCTTTAAAGGGAGAAAATGCAAAACAGCTCCAGTATCTATAAACATTGTAATGAAAAGGACGTATCTCCTTTCCTGACAATTTTTCCATAATATCTTATTCTAATTCTCCTTCTCTAAATCTCGAACAATTAGTTCGTGAAAGCTAACTTATTTCGAATCTTCAACCCTTCTTATTTTTGTAATAGCAATTTAAATCATTGCAATAAGCTGGGTTCTAATGTTCATTATAAGATTTTATTTCCCGTCTGGAAAATCTATTTATTTGTTCATGATGTTTGTATCAGGATAAGACAGATTGCATTGAAATTCATCCACCATTCTTCCACCTCCTCCGACGTTTTTGATTTTAGCATTTCACTTGACCTTTCATTTGTGAGTGTTGAAATAAGTTTGTTTGTTTTAAGATAATTACAGTTTTATGAAATGCTGACTGTGAATTAGTCGAACTGTCAAGTGTAATATTGTTTTTATTGTTTATTTTTTCATAATGTAGCATGGATGACATCTCTATTACTGCTTCAAGGTTGGTATAATCCTTCTGTATATTACAAAAATAATGAAAGTTTATGGCTATTGACATAATTTCAATAATAAGTCATACAAAGTATAAGTTTTTATTAAGCCTTTAATGACCAAGCGCGAGGTTTATACGGAGAAATAACGGACCGAGGTGCGAGGTTTGTACAAAAAGACAAAGGTCCGATATTTCTCAATAAAGACCGATAAAGTGAGGTTATTAAAAGGATTATTATATGGCATTATTTAACCTGAAACGAAGCTTGCTTTCTTTCTCGTCCTTGCTGTTTTTACAGGTTGATTTTCACTTTTCTAGTTTTCGTCCATAAAAAATAAAGTCGTTTTAAATTGTATTTTCTAGATAGTTTAACTGTTTTCCAAGTGTTTTTCCTTCGAATCACATTCGTAAATTGTTTTTTTGTTTCGTTCATTTTTCGTTTCGCTATTTGCTTTACGAAATTTGTTTACATTTGACTGTAAAATTACGCGTTTTGGACCGTGGTCGATTACGGTAAAAAAATAGACCGGCAAAAACATTTCTGAGCCAATCAAAGCGCATCATTTAGCCGGAAGTTACGCTTGCCATATAATAATGATGCTTAAATTATTTTGAACTTCGTTCTCACCTTGTAATTCGTATTACGAAAGCATAATTCTCATGTCTGGGTTTTGTTTGTCTTGAAAATTAAAGTTTTATTATAACCATAAGTAAGTTAATTTAAGAATTATATTGTCCGTTTTTACACTGTAGAAATAAAGCAGAAAATAAATCAACTTAGAGGTTAGTATGGTTATGCATGCAGTAATGATAATGACGAATGTTTAAAAGAATGGAAAAAATCGACTTTATAGATGACATTTGTAACATTAATTAAATGCTCATGTATACAACAGAAAGAAAGATCGTGGTAAATCCCCGTTACAATAATAGATTATTGCATGTTTGGTGAGTGCGTACGATTTTTATGCACGAGTTGAGAAGGATTGAAAACACACGAGTGAGCGCAACGAGTTTGTTTTCAATCCTTCTAAACAAGTACATTATAAAAATCGTACAAACGAACCAACCATGAAGTAATCGTTTTAGCATACGAGTATTGAAATTTAGATTATATTATAAATAAACACAATGAAACGCGTGCGCTGATTGGTTTAGAGCTGTGTTTGCATTAGCCTGGGCAAAACACATCTGAGCTCAACCAATCAAATCCATCATAACAATCAATCAGTCAAAGAGAATTTGCAAATCGATCACGAATGCATTTTAGAGCAAATTAAAAGGTTTACTTTAAATTTGTCTGTTTCGCATTATTGTTATTTTATAAAAGAAATAAAAGATGTTTTTCGTGTTTGCACTTTTCGAGCATGTGAAACCCTCGAGCTTCGGCCTCGGGCTTGCACTGATCTGCTCTCGAGCTCTACCAAAGGTCTCCTCGGTTTGCATAAGCCTGTGCAAACACAGTAAACATCTTTTATTTCTTAAGTGAAATTTTCGCCATAGAGAGCACAATTTCAAATGCTTCAAAACAATCACCTAATTTAAATAAAAAAATACATTAACACAAATAAATTGTTCATTGGGAATAACTTATTTTCCCGCCGTTTCTGTCTTAACATTTTGAAAGGTAATTCTTCTCGTACGTAGGAACTTTGTTCGTTTTTTTTTACGTTTTTTTTTGGAAGGAAGCGTAATAAACTTGATTAAATATTTATTAAGTTGTTTGACGGGAATATTGTCCATGCTTTAAAAGTCATGTTTCGACGATGAAAATTAGTGAAGAAATCCAATGTCCTGCTGTTTGAATCATTTCCCTTACACTTATAATGAATTCGCTTACGGATAGTGTCTTGGCAAACTCTAACGCCATTGACAAATGAAATCGAAAAAAGATTGTTTTTGTTTTCTTTAGTTTTAACGCTGTTCACCGTTCGTGGTAAAACTTGACATGTATTTTGTCACTAGTGAAAAAAATGATATATCTAATCAGAATGCAGATACGACGTTTTTCACTAGTGAAAAAAATCGTATGTCCAATCAGGTGCTCGGAAAGATCAGGCATATGATTTTACTTCATCGTTTTGTTGCGCATAAATTTCAGTACTCGTATGATAACAGAGTATAGTAGTAATTCGGATTAGATATAAGTTTAAATTGCTTATGAAACGAAAACTTTGCTATTTCAATAAAAGTTTTATTGAGCAGAACTTTCAAAATAATAGTAGACTTCCGAAAAAAGTTTATCCATATCGCTTTTCATACTCAAAATATTTAGGTTTTCGAATATTCAATTTATACAACTAATGACGTCACCACAATGCATAATGGAAATTAAATTTTCGGATATATCTACTGATATGTTACTTCAGCCAAGCAGAGTTTCTTCATTGTCAGAAGTATAAGTGTTATAAAATTCCCCCTACTCATTTCAATCAAAAATTGCCAGGAAACTAAAGGATATTTAAAACTTTGCAGTAACTCATCATGCTATGTATGACGTCATTAGTTATGTAAATCAGACATTACAAAAACTTCAATATCTTAAGAATGAGTAGAGTTATGTGTAAACTGTTGTAAGAAGTATACTATTCAATTTAAAAGTTCTGTTCTATGCATGAGAATATAATTTAAATAGAAAACTTTTTATTTCATAGTCACTTAAAAAATCATGCTCAGTTTATAGCAAAGATAAGATTCAAAATACGACAAAAACAAGCCAAAAACATAGAAGACAAGGCTTGTACAAAATGAATTAGTAGTCGAATTCGAAACGTACCGTATTTTATGCAGTGAACTCCATTACCTTACATCAAAAATAACTTTTGTAAGTGGAAACATGATGCCTTTTTTCTGTTGCTGTTAGGATTTATTGACTTACAGGTTAGTATGGTCGTGTAAGTAACAAATGACGAATGGTTATTGATAATGCATAAATGAAAAATTAGTTTTGTAATGTGAAAGATAGTTTTTCTTCTTAGCAAAAGGAGGTTAGTGTAGAACAATACCTCGACATTAATCTTTGTTTCTTCCATTATCATCAATGTCCACTGCAAAGAATTTCCTTCCATGATTACAAAACTGTCGTTTAAAATAGTAGCGAGAGACTTGCTGAGCGAAAATCGAATTCGTGTAATAAAAATAAATGTCCAACATAAAGTTTTAATCAAAGCCATAGAAATAGACGAAAGGTTGTAAAATTGAATTTATTGTGACGTTTCGTCTTTACTCAGGACATCTTCAGACAAGTAATAAATAATAAATAGGATGTTAAGACAAGATATTATATTTACAAAAGGTGTTAAATTACTACTAAAGGAGGCGTTGTCAAATGGATTATATGATAAGGAAGTTAAGAAGTAAAACCGATCACATTCACAGCTGAAGTCGAACAAAACAGAAAACTATCATTTCTTGACATTGACATCTCTCGCACAAATGGAAAATTCACCACTTCCGTCTACCGCAAACCTACTTTCACTGGCCTCTTCACTAACTTCCACAGCTTCATCCCACTTACTTACAAACTTTCACTAGTCTCCTGCTTACTTCACCGCATCTTCCACATTTGTTCTACTTACAAAAATTTTCACACACAACTCGAATTTACCAAAAAGTCACTCACAAATCACACGTCGCTTCCTTAACAACACCTTTGCCCCCAAACCACCTGTCTTGACTGCTCACAAAATGCCGATCTATTTTTGTCTTCATTTCACCGGCATGCACTCCCTTCAAATTCGCACACAAATCAATAGCCTTTAGGCTGCAGCCTCCCACATATATCTATTAAATTTGTTTTCCGCCCTTCCCAACGTATCTCTTCTTTCTTCCCCTTTAAGGACAAAATTCCCAAACCTCTGAAATCTGGTGTAGTCTACTTATTCAAGTGTCAAAGCTACAACGCGTCGTATGTGGCTCAAACCACACGTCATCTGCACACCAAATTTTCGGAGCATTTGGGAATATCCCCCCTTACAGGCAACCAAGTTTCCCGCCCAGCGTTATCGAGCATTTTTGCTCACATTAACGCAACTGGACGCACCCCCAACCTAGACGACTTTAATATAATTTCCTCTTCTAACGATTCTTATGAACTCTCCATTCATGAGAGCCTTATAATCAATAAATACAAGCCTTCACTTAACGTACAAGGAAGTTCCATTCCACTTAACCTCTTTTAATGTCACTATATTTTACTTCCTAACTTCCTTACCGTACAATCCATTTGACACCGCCTACTTTAGTAGTAATTTAACACCTTTTGTAAATATAATATCTTCTCTCAACATCCTATTAATTAATTGTTACTTCTCTGAAAATGTCTTGAGTAAAGACGAAACGTTACAATAATTTCAATTTTACAACTTTTGGTCTATTTCTATGTTGGGCGTTGATTTTCATTACACGAATACATTACTATCACATTTTGGTGAATTTTTGACACAAAACACAGATGCCCAATGTAAAATTTACTCACATTTTCATTGCTGTCTTGCATGTGTTAAACAATCTTTATATATCCTCTCACGTTTTTTACGATATTTGCCCATAAATGAGTGCAGCACTTTTTGGAGGAAAGGAATTATTTTTCAGTTTACGTTAATGCAACTGAAATATCATTGTTACATGACGTTCTATTTTGTACTTCTCTCTCCTCTCGTTTACCCAGGAAACACATTCTGTTATTTGAACTTATTCGTGTCTGAATATTAAAATTTTACAATTTTTAAATGTGTCAGTTAATTTTTCATTTGTAAACGGGAAAATATTGCTTTAAAGCGTTTTTTAGCCAGTATTTTGGATATATTTCGTCTTCGCGCTAAATATCAGCAGATTTTTTGTTTTCATTAAAGCAGACGCGATATCTTACGAGGTCTACGGAAATGCATCGATCATTTAATTTATCTTAATGTTGGTTTCAACAGTTCTTTTTAAAAATATATACCAAGGTTATAGTTGTAATTTACCATGGTAAATATGCTCATCAAAGCAGTATTTAGTTTTCTTACCACAACCATGCAAGGCTTTGTTTTATAAAACTTAAAAATTGTATTGTTTTCATTGTTACGTTTTTTATGTATAATTTTGTTTATGGTTGTTTATGCCTGTTTATGTTCACTATATCCAAAGTTAATTCATTTTAAGAGGTTATTCGTCTGTTATATGTTATGAGTTTATGAACAATAAGATAGTCATTTTAACCTATAATGTGTAAGTGGAAAAATAATGTCTTTTTTTATGTTGCAGATTTGAATAGTGGACTTAGAGGTTAGTATAGGCGTGTAATTAACTATTGACGAATGCTTATTGATAATGCATAAATGAAAATATGTTTTGTAATGTGAAAGATAATTTTTGTTTTTAGCAATGTGAAAGTTAGTATAGAACGATACCACGACTTCCATCTTTCTGTCTTCCATTATCATCAATGTTCACTGAAAATAATTTACTTGCCCGACACAACTATCACATTTTGATGAATTTTTGACACAGAACACAGATGTCCAATGTTAAGTTTACTCACATTTACAAAGTTTACATTGCTGCCTTACATTTGTTAAACAATCTTTATGATGTTTAAGAAATCTTTAACCTCTCACGTTTTTGACGATTTTCGCCAATAAATCAGCGCAGCACTTTTTATGAGGAAATGAATTATTTTAAGTTTACGCTGATGCAACTAAAATAGGATTGTTTCTATACGTTCATTATTGTACTGCTCTCTCCTCTTGTTTACCCAGGAAAGATTCTGTTATTTGAGTTTATTCGTCCATAAGTATTAAAATTTTACAGTTTTACGATGCTTCAGTTAACCTTTCATTATTAAACGAAAAAACACTGCTGTAAAGAGCATAGTTTCCGTTGTTTTAGATATATTCTAAAACAACGGAAACTACGACATCTTTGCTATAGGTTTTACACCTCGAAACACAATCATTCACAAACAACATAAACATCAGACTATGGAAAAGATATGTCGACGACATCTTTGCCATAGTCAAGAAAGACAAAACTGAACAAATCTTACATACCATAAACAATACCACAAAGAACATTACCTTTACTAAAGACGAAGAGCGCGACAAACAACTTACATTCCTCGACATCCTACTAACCATAACAGATGACGGTACACTAAACACACAAGTATACCGCAAAACCACCCACACAGACCAAATCTCAATTTCAACAGCAATCATCCAACACAACACAAAATAAGCTGCATTCGAACACTTTTTAACAGGATAAATAAAACAGTCATTGTAACACCGAAGAAGCCAAGAAAACAGAGCGCAACTACTTATACTGCACATTTGTTAAAAACAATTACCCTAGAATCTTCATAAACAAAACTATAAACAAAATACAAAACAAAACACAAACCGACAAAAGCAACAAGTAACCGGACGAAACAGTAGAAATCGTCACATTACCGTACATAACGGGACATCAGAAATGACTGCCAGACTTCTTCGACCATTTAATATTAACGTTGCCCACAAACCTACACAAAAACTCAAATCATGTTTCACCAAACATAAAGACAAAACAACAATTCAGATACAACTGACACGATCTACATGATACCATGTAAAGACTGTTTAAAGCAATACATAGGACAAACATCAAAAAAATTGAAACAAGAGTCACAGAACACAAAAAAGCCATAAAACGATGAGATCCGAACTCACTACCGGCAGAACATACCCACGAAAACAACCACACATTCGACTGGACAGAAACTAAAGTACTCGGACGCGCACAGGCTAAACACGCACGCGAATTTAAAGAAGCTTGGTACAGTAAAGACAACGACACAATAAACAGACATATCGACATACCCATCATATACTCACAACTAAAGAAAAAGGACAAAAGAAACTACAAACAACACCAAAACTACAACACTACACTCTAATAACATTAACACCGATCATATTTACAATACACCAAAACCCATGGCAACGCATTTCCTTCCATCCAATCACATTAATCCACCCGCCAATCCAATTAGACGCTCTAAGCGTCTACAAGCTAAAAGCACGTGTAAATAAATAATATCCTCATTCTGATGAAGGCTCGAAGCAACAAGTCGAAAGCTCAATAAAAAAGTTATTTAAAATCCGGAAAAACCTTTATATTTTATTTATGTATTTATGTATAGTCAAGAAATTTCCCTACATTATTTATGTTTTTGATTGTTTATGTCTGTTTATGTTCACTGTGTTATGTGAACATTAACTTGGGAAGATAATTTTGTTTTTATAGGATTTTTTATTGGGTTTTTTCTGTGTTATCCTGGCAGCATTTGGAAGACAATGTTGTCATGCAATATATTACCTTAATAATGCATGTTTATGGTTGTTTTTGTCTGTTTATGTTCAATGTAATGAAGCAAAATAATTCATTTTAAGAGGTTATTTGTCTGTTCAGGGACGGACATGACTTCTCAAGCTCCTGTGTCTGTTATAGTCTCAGTTTTTTAACAATAAGATAATCAAATTGACATGACATATGTAAATGTGAAAATATTTTTTTATATAGCAATATCTATGCTTTCTTGGAATCCTGATCGTCGCATCGGTTAGTAGATATGATGATTGATGTTCTTGATGATATGATGATTGATGAAATTCTAAACATTACAATGATGTAACAATTAGATTTAAAATTTCGTCATAAAATAGCCTATAATATTATCTATAATGTTTATGGTTGTTTATGTGTCTTTGTTTTTACTAAATTGGAGAAAAGTTGAATTATTTTATGAAGCTTTTTGTGTCTATATAGTGTCAGTTTTTCAACAATAATGATTGTGTACCTGTCTTATGTAAATGCGAAAATAATATTTATTTTTGTCTAATTGTAAATTTCTTTCGAATTTTAAATGATTTGCATGGTCATGCACAGCAAATATAACAATTTATTAGTAATGAATAGTTTCATTAGTAAAAAGTTATTTTTTCCCTCAGTGCTTCCGTGCTTCGGTGCCTCAGTGCTTTTGTTGCATGAAAAGTGATAACAATTACGAGTAAAATTATGAATTCTGCTTGATATAGAACAAAACGTGGCGAATTCTATCTTCAGTGCTGCAAAGGATGATCTTCTCCATGAAATTGCCAAGTTCATTAGTCCTCAGTGGATCGAGCTTGGTAGAAAGTTATCTATACCAAAAAGAGAATTGGACAAAATTAATTCTAAACATAAAAAAGTGGAAGAAAGGGCATTTCAAATGCTTAGATATTGGAAAAGAAACAGTGGAAGAAATGCTACAGAAAAAATTTTACTTTATGCTCTGACCGCTATTGGCCGTCAAGATGTTGTACAATATTTGCAAGGTATTTGTTGCCTGCTAGTTTTTGAGAGTATTGTAGAATGTTAATTGTACTGATGTTAGCTACGCTGTGTCTCACTCACAGAAAGAGATCGTTACTGTATAGAAAAAATATATTCAATCAATGACATTGAACTAAGTTATTTATTACTGTAAAAAATGCACGATGAATGGTGAACAAAGGCTGACGCATCTCTATAATTACTGAAAGCGTTCAAATTTGCCTCGTTTTTTGCATTTGGTTTGTGTTCAGCCATTGTAGCAATGATATTTTATTTACAATGTTGTAAATAAATCAATTATTTGTAATTTACATTCTTGTCACTGAAATACGATTGCCATTTATAAATATCTTTTATCGCTTTCTTTTCTTGAGATGCTTTATTTGACATCGATTAACTTCTTATATGTAAATGTGAACAAATTTTTTTATCTTTAATTTTCATATAAAACAGAAAAGATTCAGTGGCGACGTAATGGTTGGTATAACCATTAATTTTTATAATGACTGTTTACTTTCATTAATACACACTATGTTAAAATCATATAAATATATAGTTGCTCTTCTTCTGTGTGAGCGTAAACTGTGAATCCTCCAACTTGTTTTGTGTGAGCGTAAACTTAATTTTATTTACATTGTTTGTTTTTCATATTGATGTAGAGAAGAAAGGACGTCGTCGTAAAGGTTGGTATAGTCATATATACAACATATTAATGACGACTGTTTTTGTTCATTGTGTGTCAACTTACCCTGACATTGATTTGATAAAAATGTGTGATGTGGCCTGCATATGTCGAACATGGAGCAAAATTACTGTTGCAGCAAGGAATGTATTTCCAATGAGCAACAATAAAACACTCCACACCAAATGAAATATTCCTTTCATTCCAACAGTAAAAACATTTGTCATTGAAGATGGTAATGTTTGAATAAATATTTTGCATAACAACATTCACTATGTTGAGAGAAATACTTCTCACATTCGTGGAATTGAAACAAGTTGTATCAATTCTAAGCAATATGTTGCGTAAAAGAAACAATGTTGTTTTTAGTTTTTAATTCTTCACAAGATCTTACCGATATTGAGGAATACAGATATTTAAAGAATGGTAATACTGTTATTTTTTGAATGTATTTTATGTGTAATATACAAAATAATAGTTGCCTTTGCCTCATAGCTATTGTTCATGGGAATGAGTTGATGATGTTGCAATACGTTTTTAGCAATAAAAATCATAAAATAATATTCTGTTTGTTATTGTTTTTAGCAATTAGAGCTCTGAAAGTTCCCAAAGGTGACTATGTTGTGAATCATCGTCTATTCATGGAAACAACGTTTTTTTTATTTTCTACTGTATTGTTAAATACAATTCAGTTAATGTACGCGAGAATGGATAATGTTCAAAAGACTAAAAATTGTGCATACATCCATAGTTTTCTATTCTTTTTTCTTGGGATGATTTATAAAAGAAAGTTTATCCATTCCTATTTTTTACTCCTCGACAGTATAAGTAAACTGAAACCTGTCCATGTTATGGTGCATATAACTAATATCATTTTTTCATACTGCAGCCTTGCAGGCAAAAGATGTGCCATCGGAAAAACATCAACGCTTGAAGAAAGGTAGTATTGTGCGTCATTAGTACGACGATTGAATTAAAGAAATATAATGAAAAGTTTACAGGATACTCAACATGGATATTCGTTTTTGCATGGCAGGAGAAATGACTTTAGAGACAGTGTTATCTATATTAGAAAAAAGAGACGCGCATTCATTTGTTCTCTTTTGTTTCAAATGTAGAATTGATGGAAAGAAAGATGGAACGATATAAAGAAGGTAAAGGGATAATTTAAAATTTTGTTTTTCAACAAATCAATGTTAAATGTAACAAACAATACTGAAGCGTAGCTACTTTTTCAAAAGTTTTTTTCACGTTCGCGTGTCTTCACTTTTTTTACAACTCACTTGCTCTACCTTTCCACAATCGAACAGAAAACTTGTGCTACACACCAATGCTTCATTAAATGATTATTGTACTTATCCCTTAGCTTCTTTTCCCAGCTAAAAAATTCTGATATACTACTTGTGTTTTATTGTGTCTATCTTTGCAAGAATAAATAATTACTTTTGCTTTCGATGGTGTATGAAATAAATTTTGTGCATCTTTCCCGGTTTTGTTTGAAAGGTTTTGTTCAACATTTGTTCATAGAATGAGTAAATATCTACTTAACATAAAATCTTTGATTCTAATTTATTACTTTTAAAATAAAAACTAATGTTACTTTTGCACGATACAGTTGTAGATGCACTGTGGACGAGAAATCATTTATTTTATAAAGGTAATGAATGAAATAGCTTGCTTATATCAAGTCAAATTTTGACTCTGAAGATGACTACCGCTAAGGTTGTCGAAACGTCAGTCAACAACTACAAAAACAGTCCATCTCAGGACTATACCAACGTGGACGATCTACATTTACAAACATAAGTTGGTATTGTTCTAATGACTGATTTATGATTTTTAATAAGCGCTATGTTAATAGCTATACCTAAAGTCATAAATAGGTGTAAAAGATTTGGCTGGCTTTGCCACTGAAACTTATGTTGTGAATAACACTTTTGATAACTTTTTTTACTGATATAGTGGCCGAGTTTTTAGCTACGTCTTCACTTTGGAATTATTATTTTATATTAAGGTTTATGGATTTATTCTATTTAAAAAATTATTTGAATGAATGATTGTAATTCCTTTTATAAAAGCTGTAAATTCTACCAATGTGGTCGCTCAAGATGACGTCCATGTTACCCACGAGGATGCAGCAGCAAATCTGGCCCAAGATTATGAGATTATTGCTCAAGATGAGTCGAAAATCAACAGTGCCGGTAACTTATTGCTTCATTTAAATCATAAACACATTAATTTGTATTGTTTTGTTCATCGGGCCGATTGAAAAACATAAAATTTGCGGGCCGAAAATTTGATATCAGGCGGCATGTAACATGCTTTAATAATTAATTAAATTTAGGGTTGACTGTCAATCTTACAAAATCGAGCAAAAATTTGACAAAAGAGATACATGATGTGCATGGAATCCAAACATTGAAATCGAGAGAATTTTGGTCGCCATCGTCCATTGAAGCACCCTTTCGGCTTCTTTCAAATATCGAAATACCACATGATGGAAATCAGAATGGTGGAACATCTCGCGGTACGATAACACTGATTTGTCTGAAGGATGGTGTTTACTCCGCCTTGACATGCGCACATGTTGCTTGTGCCACTGACCACCAGCAAACATTTCTTGACGGAGAGCGACTGGTATCAATCAACAAAGCTGTAGAAACCTTGAATAAACACGATGAAAACAAGTATATGTACACACCGTCTAAGAGTGACTGTAAAGCAGAAATTGGATCCACTCATCGGCACACCTTTGCTCAGTTTGATAGTGAAACAGACATCATGTCTATCAGTATTGGCAAGCAAGAAGATTTCAAGAAACTTATTGGTGATGAAATGGAAGATGTTGTGTTGAACTTGGATGATGCAAATTTAGAACTTCAACGAAGGGTTGAAGACAACAAGGAGGCTGTTAAAGTCCGCACAGCCACTGGTGTCGAGGGCTTCATCAGTGAACTGAATTATGAATATTGGTGTAAAAATTCCACACGTCGCATTTTCCAGAATGCTATCAAGATAAAAAGTTGTCAAACATTTCTTGATTCTGGTGATTCTGGTACTCTTGTTTGGTTTTTGGATGAAAAAGAAAATTGGCAACCGTTTGCGTATGGAGTTTGCGAAGTATGTGATGATGGTGACAGCGGTTCAGAAAAAAGTTACATCTGCCTGAAGTTGAACCACGGCTTAAAAGCTCTTGGTCTTCAGAATGGTCAATTTCTTAGACTTCGGGACAATGGTCTTACTGTATACAACAGTGCTAAAAGCGGCGATGGTGAAGGAGGTGCAGCTAACAAAAGTAAGGTGTTTTGAGTTATTACTTCTTTGCCTTGTGTGAACATTTTGCAGCTAGAAAGGCTTGCTGTATATCAATGAAGAAAGTTTCGTTTTCTATAAAGTAACGCTAGCCTTTTATATTCTTTTGTAATATTTCAGAAGACTCTAAAGTGGCACTGAAATTTCGACGCATTAATTATAAACGTCGACAAGGTATTGTTTTGAATCATTTAATTTTTAATGTCCTGGTGAATATTTTACATCCTGAAAATTAATCCACAATCGGAGATGTTTAAAAATACACATTGATTATGAGCAACAGCTTTACAGCCCTATATATATTTTACCTATAGCATAAGTATTGCAATAAATAAAGGCTATCTTTTGCATAGGACATGCACTTATTGTTATAAGCTGCCGAGAGAAAATAAGGACAAGAGAATATCATGAAAATAATAATCGTGTCGATAAGCAACTCGTCACTTTTCTGTTTTACAATTTTTCTTGTCAATGCATGAATTCTTAAATCAAATGTTCTCTCATTGTAGAATTTTAATTAATAAGTGTTTGATTCTTTAAAAACCAGATTCGATTTCCCGTGTTCATCAACAGCCACCGTCAAAAAAATTAAAAAACATGGAATTCTCGTCAAAAGATAATGGTATTTAATGATTATGATTTATCATTATCTTAGACTTGAAAACAGTGCACACTCAGAACAACTAAAAATCATAAATTTGTATTGATAGAAAAGAATCCAGTCACATCAACTGGTGCTCGGTTGACATCGGAAATTACAGGTAAAATCGACACTTTATTTACCATGGATTGCATGTTTAACCGTTGATATTAATTTTATGCAACTATCTGAGGATATGTAGGTACCGATGACTTTCAATACTTCAAAAAAAAATTTCTCACCGACGATTTCAAAATGAGCAATGACGTGCATAAGAAATTGAAAAGGTAAATCTTACTATTTGTGTTTTTTTTATATTTCTTCAATTCCAGTTGAGTTTTTATCCACGCGAAGATATTTTTCTGCTTTATTGTTTAATCTTTCCGTGATTTTTCCACATTTGCAGCTTTGATTGGTTTTGTGGAAAATGTGGAACAGCGGGTCCAACTGACCAGATGCCATATCTTCACTTGTACATGGTCGTTGATTACACTAACGGAATAACTGATCATAATATGAAACAAGAAATCAACGAGAAACTTGGTTGGCAAGCTTCAAAGTACATCGAATTCCGACCAAACGACCCGTCAAAGGTGTGGAAGGTTCGACCTCTATCCAACAAGCGACTGGAAGTGGAACGCGATGATATTCCTTACATGCGATCCAGTGGCACGTTGACAATGTTCCGCATGAAAGATGGAGAACAATACGCGTTGAGCTGTTTCCACGTTGGTTATGAAATTGGCCGGATACGGAACGATGACGTTAACCCGTTTTTGGCAATTCAAGATGAAATTGAAGTAAACAGAAATGCCACTCAGCGATTTATGGAAGAAAATAAGTATTATCTCTCAGATGATGACGAAGTGGTTGGTAATTTTTCCCAGTTTGATTTTGGACCTGAAACTGATATCATGGCCATCAAAGTTGATGAAGTTAAAATGAAAAATATTTCAGATGAAATGGAGAACTATTCTCATGACGTATTGTCGAGGCTTTTTCTTAGAAAGCATCGTGGTGAAGAGAACATTGTTCAAAAAGCTCAAGAAATTTTTGGAAACATTGAGGATCTAATGTTTAATTTTGATGATGAAGACGGAAGACCCGTATTTTGTAACGCAGTGTTGGTAAAAAGTGATGTTGAGTTTCTAATGGACGGAGATTCAGGATCTCTTGTGTATTTTTGTGATAATGAAGACAACCAAAAACGACCTTTTGCATATGGTGTTGCTGAATTGAGCGGGGAAGACCAAAACGGAAAAGTGGAGACGTTCTACATTTGCTTGAGATTAAAAGATGCTTTGGAAAAATTGGAACTTATGGAAAAAAAGTCGTAAAATTGAATGAATTCCTTTGATTGTTTAATATCCCAATTTCTTTCCCAAGCAATTTTTCCTGCAAAATAATTACCTTCTATGTAACCGTATGCATTAGTTTGAACTTAATCATTAATTTAACATTTATCCATTTATTTAATTTTTGTTTAACTATCCAGGCTTAATTATAATGAACGAATTAAAGAACCAATTCAAAAGAACGATTGTCAATAAAAACATACATTTAATTTGATTTTAACGTAATAATTTATATTCCCTAAAGTTCATATTACTTATCAATAATGTAATAATCCAATAGTTCAATAATTATGAATATGTAACTTAATTGAGCAAAAAACAAGCTGTAACTAACCATATATCACATAAGTGAAAACCTTACATATCTGACCGCTGACTTTCTGATTTCTTTTCTCATAAATGGAACGAGGAAATTAGAAACAGTTGAAAACAACCCATCCGTTTTTCTTCGTAAATAATTTTAGTGTACTTAACGATTGAATTGTCGTTACTATACATGTTATTTGTCTATTTCATAATTATAAATGAACCAAGTTGTATGATTTTTGGTTTTTGTTCGATCATTGATAAGCAAAACGTTGTCACAATACAAGAATAACTTTTTTTTCAGTTTTTATTAACTTTTGGTTAGCAATATGATTTATGTCTCCTGGCAATAACTATCATGTTAATCCGTACAAGTTTTTTAACAAATCAACTTTGGCAAAAACCTGGTGAGTGTCGTATGTATCCAAAAATAACAGAAATGTTAGTAAATTGTCTAAACCTAATCTCTTCTTGAAAATTTATATTCAACCTTAATTTCAACTCTCGCAAGAATCAAAATGCAACATTACAGAATCACTGCCTGGGTTGTCATTTGTCAAACAAAAGAGAAACTACTTAATAATTATACATAACTAATGCATAATTAAGGTTTGTGAACAAATAACTGCCATGACTTAGCTAAGGTATTTAGAAATCAGGCAGAACACATTCGTAACTTCGTTCGTTAAAGTCTGTTTGAAGTAGCTAACTTATGTAACGTCTGAGTTCGATATTTACATGTAGTTAGTGTTCAATATTTCCTATGATTATAGAATCGTTCATGTTCAACAAAAACATCTCTACTTAATGAAACGAACATCAAAGGCTACCATGTCAGATAATTTTCGATTGAGAATTACCTGGAATTCTCAGCAATTAAAATGTATTTCTTCACAAATGTAGCTCTTTTTCAAAATCAAATTTATTATTGTACTCCTATAATTATAAGGGAGGGGAGGGGAGGGGTTATTTTAGCCAATTAGAAAGTAGCTATTATTAATTGAGTAAATTATGATTATATAGCAGGATTTAAGATTGTCACTGAAGAGTGAAGTCCTTCTAGTTATTTAGATGTTTAAAGAAATTGGTAAAGATAGAGTTACGAACTCAGATAAATGCTTTTAGGTTTGAGTGAAAAACATGACGTTTGTGACTTAATTTTTGAATAGTAGCCTCCAAATTCTTTTGATCTCTTTCCTGCTGGTCTTTTGAAATTGCTTACATTTTTTAAATATATGTATTTTTCGACTACGTCTTTAGAATGTTCTGAAATCCGAAGTGAACAAACAGCAGCGAAGAAGTTAAAAGTTTATGAAACAATAAAAGACTGGAAACCTTTTTGTAAGTTTTATACACTTAATTGATTGTATAATTTATTAAGAGTATATAACAGAGTAAAAAATATTGTTTTGAATTTTGAATTCTTATAGTGTATAATAACAATTTTAGAAAATTATATTGCGTCAATATTTGATTTAATCACCAAGAGTCTGTTTCTCTATCTTATTTCTACCTCCTCTTACAAACCTAATTCTTAACAGGGTCTTAATTTTTCGACATCGCGAAAAAACATTAAAGAATTAATTGATAGGCAATGGCGATACGGCGAGCAAAACATTTCCGTAGAAATAGGGATTTTCTTTTCTTTATCATTCCACAATGGATTTCATTGCCATGCATACCTTAAATCCAGATTATTATACAACTTTTATCGTTTGAACAGTCTAGCTGTTGTATGTAAATATATGATGTATACGACGGTGTGAGAATTCGTTACCGGAAGTTAAAATGCAGTGGAATTTTTTTGAAATTAGCTACGAAATGAAAATCGCCAATATATATATTATAGCTATATACATATCAGTCACTTAACTTTTAATTTTCAAACTGATTTTCATTATATAGATATGTATGTATAAGCTTGTATAAGCTTATACATCATACAAATGTCACTTTGTCTAACGTCACATATCCTTTTATCATTTTCTAAACTTCAAACTAGAAGGTCTTCACGATGACGGTCTTCTTTTTGATGTTATTCATGATTTACTTAGCTAAGATTACTGTCCACAATTAGAGCAATTACAAGACATACCTGACAAATGCTGTTCTTCCACAGTGACAGTTTTATCATTGCATCATTCGTTAAAGGGACGAGTCAATTATTTTTGCTAATTAGAAAGTATTCATTAGTTGAAAAAATCGTGATTATATAGCTGTGATTATAATAAAGACTTAAGATTTTCAGTGATGACTTCCATATATAGTTACTTTGACGTTCGAGAAATAAAAATAGTCAGAGTTGCCGGTTTTGCAAGCCATTCATTGTGTTGTTTTCTTGACTAAAACAACTGTTGTTTCTTCCCTGATTTGTCGAAATTTAAAGTTATTTTTGCAACATGACGTCGTTGGGACCAAAATTTCCTTTAATTTGATTTTTGGTCATGAAGAGATTATACTTTTAAAAAAACATTTTGATAGTTTATAGAAAAGCGTACAAACATTATACCGTCGAAATGGCGCTCTCTTGTTTTTCCCATTCACTATTTTTAGCTGACTAAAAATCTTTAAAGGAAGTGAAGAATTATTTTATTTTAACCACTAACCAAACAATCAATTCTTACTGAACCAAATTTTTACAGCTTTGCCAATCTTTTTTGCCATTAGGAAGAAAAGAATTTGCATTCATTCCATATGGCTGACAAAAGTGACTCTTCAAAAGGTATCAGGCTATGGGCAAATACTAAGTGCATGCATTATGTTATAAATGCACATTCAGTCAAATTAAGTCGTATGGCATGATGACTGGGAATAAAATATCTGTAAAAATTAGTGCGTAAATAGCGTAGGCATCTTTTGAACGTGTCTAATGATGAGCTGGTTTAAGCTCATAGAAAAATATATGTTGTCAAGGAAAAGTCGGTCAATTTTTCGAAGAACATATTTAAGATTATAAAGATGATAATCTGCCCCAATATTTTATTAGCTACATATTAAAAAAACACTCAACATTTTAATACAGAAACATTAAACTGGAAAAATATAAGTTCTTAATTTGATGATTTATCAATGTTATAGATGACCTGAAGATCCGAGCTGTGTTTAAAACAGCAAAATCTGTATCCTCACCCGACAAGGATAATTTGAGAAAAGGTCACGAGTTCAATTACATAGTGCATTTTGTTGGGAAGAGACTCTAAAAATTATGTTCTTTGTCTTCCTTAAAGTGATACTATGATGAAAATTTTGCCTCTCGTTTGTTTTCATAGATTAATGGTGTATGTAAAAAAATGTCTTCTGGCGAAATTTTAACGCAATATATTTAAATCTGCTCGAGTTACGTAGCGATAAAACTTGAAATTTAAGAGCCGCCATTGAAAGGCGCCATATTTGAATTGTCAGGTAGGAAGGTGCTTAACTCGCGGCTGTTTACAATATAACACTATATACAAATAGAGATTTAAAAGGTTGGTTAACTCAATTTTTTTTAACATTCCTTCATCACGCTGTTTCATGCAAGATTGCAGTAAAATAAGTCTGATAGAAGTACAGGCAATTCTTTGCATAAAAGCCCAAATGACGAGTCTTTGAGAAGAATTTGGGTTAAATTTGTTCAGACGAAGCGCGCAAATTTTAATCCGAGTTCGCGCGAAATTCTATTTATGATTTGTTCGAATCAGTCTTCGGAAGATTGTTTTGAGCATTTATTCCAATTGGGTGGTATGATTAGACGGCACAAAGTTGGTGCCGTACCTACAATTTGGAAGAAATCACCAACACCAACAACGTCAAGAGAGCGGCGTTAGCACAAGTTGCAACTATGATATACTTACATATATTGCAGATGATAAATTTACACAATTTGAGAGAAGCAATAATACATCCAGGCAAACTTCCAATATATAATGTACATTTATACTAAGGTTTTAAAGGAAATGCAAAATAAAGTGTCTGTATCCAGCATGAACAAAGAAGAATTAAACCTAACTGGCTTTGAACATAACGAAGCTGCTATTTCAAGAACAAATTCGTTCAGGCAAACTTCGTTAAAGCCAGGGTGATCCAAAATGCATTTCTTTTCATCGAATTCGTTATGATACATTTTACCACGGCATTGCTCTATTTCCATGCAGCATTGGCACTCTTGAGGGTTGACAACAAGATCCAACGAACAATGGCCACATTCACACCTTTAAAATTGGCCAAATCGTATGTTTCCATAAAGCTATCATAGCTAACGGCAGACGATTCAGATCAAAGTAACACACGAAGAATGACATCTTACCATGAAAGTAACATCAACACGGGCATCAAAACGATCTTGCAGCACGTCTTCAACCCGCCGTTCTGCGACTGCAGCTTCGTACTCAGCAATTTTATCGGGCGAAGCAAGCGGTTCAATATTATCGGCAAATGGCAAAATTTCCGAATTAGATTCGTCCGAATTTGCCGTCATAAATTCCGATGAAGAAAGCGAGCGAGCTAGATCTCGATGAATTTGACATTTGTTTGCTCTACTTATGTATTATTTTGTTTACTTTCCATTTGCACTTCTTGCCGTGTTAAGACTATGACGCCACAGACTTGGCTGATTGCATATACTCAAAATGGCCGATTTTAATGGCGGACAGGAAAATTAGACATTTTAAATGTTCATAACTCCCTCGTTATATTAATAATTTTTGCTTACATTTTACGAAAGCAATAATTGATATGCGTTTAAACTATTGAATGCTAAAATCGATGATTTTTCAACGTTAAGTTTTCGTCATAGAAGCACTTTAATGTAAGTCGCATCTCTTTAAAACGGTCTATACAATATGTTGAAGGTGATTTGAGTTACGTTATTTTATTACTGTATTTTGATGAGGCCTCTGACAAATCTGTGTTTATATTTTGCGTAAAGGTGACAGCGTCAGCAAAGGCTATACCGATGAAAAGGAATTGTCGTCTGCAATACCTCACAAAAAGTAAGCACATCAAATTTGATCAGTTTTGAAAAAATAGTCTGTTTTCTCTTCATTTCATCTTTAAAAGAAGGATTTTATAATTTATTTGTGGGATGACACGCTTGGCTGATGAGTCGATGACGATGTTTAAAAAGGCAAAAAATTTTTATCTTTAATCCTGTATTTTTATAATTATATTAAAAGTTTCCGAAGTACAATATTAAAATAAGGAAATATAACTTCAGTTGGTATATTACTACTGAATTTTTACAGCTGATTGGC